AGAGATGACTTCGGTCACCTGACCCAATAATTTGCCAACCATCCTCCAATGGCCAGAAAAGTAGCGAGATACGCCGTGGTTCGGTTCCCGTACACTTTTTCACTTTCTTTCTTCAGAGGCGCACACACACACAAACCCATTCGCTTCCTTTGTTTTAAGCCTTTTCTTCTATGGATTAAGGTCGACGCGTTTACCGATACACCTTTTAAAGGTAATCCGGCCGCAGTTTGCTTTCTGGAAGAAGGAGAGGGAGTAGATGACGACTGGATGCAAGCTGTAGCCAAAGAGTTCAACCTTTCAATTATCTATGATAAATAAAGCAAGTATGAAACAATTAAGCAGGAAGATGGGTAGCATTGGAACCATATTCTTTATCTGCCTGATTAATGGATTAGATATAGATAGCATGAGTAATAGTAGAAGCTATGATTCTCTGATCCTGAGGATCATACCTTATAGCTAACATGATTAGACCTAGATCACTTGGCTGAGCTGTTATTGTTATTTTGGTTGAGGACGATGGCGGTTCAACCATGATATGCTGAAGTAGTTACAACCATAAACACCACTCTCCCAATAGAGAAAATTTAGACATACGCACCTCTAGCATTATGTTTATTGTATATAGCCTAGAATTAGATATATCCTAGAATTGGGATACAAAATCAAGTGGTTTAACTAAAAATTAATGTGCAATCTTGTTAGGGTTGCAAGTGAAGCTAACTTCATTTCAGATAAATAAAAAATCATTCAGTAATTTATAAATCATATTATTGATAGGATTGATGATGTAGGACTTCATATGATATAGGGTTCACTAATGCAAAACTATGATTTGATGCATGAAGAAACACAAAATTCCATAACTCTTGGGTCCCTTACTATGAATTTAAGCAAAGATTAATATCTTTTAATGTAAAACTACAAAACACGCATCATTCATTACACATGATTGTGAGAGTTTTCTAGAAATAAAAAAATCTACAAAAAATGGAAATAATATAGATTTTTTTATAAATCAATTGTTACATTGCGAGAAGGAAATTAATATGTATTAAAATTGGCAAAGCCTCTATCACACCGACACACTAGTCACTAAACAATTTAGTAACAAGAAAATATGATAGCAATCAACAAAAATGGAAGATACCTGCCTCATGTTGTTACATGGAGAGTTGTCCCCTAAAAGTTGTTATAAATGCTTGCAAATCTTTTAAAGAATCCACATCTAATGGCATATACTTGAATTATGAGTTACAAAAAGTTTTTTTATACTATTCAATACTTAAATGATTTGTATATGCTTTAAGGGTTTTATTTATAATCCTAAAATGTCCCAAGATAAGCAAATTCTTCACTAAGATCTATCTAAAGACTTCTAAGTCTCAATGTAGCAGACTTGATTCCATTATAGGCCACAAATTCCTAAAAATTAAAATTCCTATTTTTAGCAAAGCATTTCTAAAGGTAAATCACTATGTATTAAAATTTTCAAAGCCTCGATCACACCTAGAAACTAATCTCTAAAAAAATGAGAAACAAGAAAATAATGATAGCAGTCAACAAATGGAAGATACATGCCTCATGTTGTTACATGGAGAATTCTCTTGAAACTTGTTATTTAAGCTTGCAAAGCATTTAAAGAATCCACATCCAATTGCTTACATAAGAGCTCTGAGTAAACAAAGTTTTATTTCACTAATCAATACCTAAAATGATTTTATATGCTTTAAGGGCTTTATTTATGATCCTAAAATGTCCAAATATAAGCAAATTCTTCTCTAAGGTCTGTCTAAATATCTCAAGTCTCAATGCATCATACTTGATTCCATCAACAACATCAAGCACTTTTTTTTGCATCTACCAGATATAAGAGGACTCTGTGGGGTCGGCTACATGAATCCTTTTTCTCCGTTGTGCCGGGTTAAGAGTCAAATTCTCATTTAAATCTGATAAATAAATGTCATTTCTAATGTTTTCAAATCAAGTCTTTTTAGGTCTATCTCTACATTTCTTAACATAGGTTAAATCTAATACATCTACTCTCCTAATCGGGTCATCGGAAGGCCACCATTTTATGTGACCAAACCATCAAGGCGATTCTCTCTAATATTATCTTCCACTTGAGCTACTTCAACCTTTTCACGTATATGCTCATTTCATATTATGTCTCTCAGAGTAGGGCCACTCATCCAACTGAGCATTCTCATCTCTGCAACACTTAACTTAATATTATCCTTCTCTTTTAATGGCAAACATTCTGCGCCATAAAGCATTGCAGTTCTAACCACCATCTTGTAGAATTATCTCTTAAGTTTGAGTGATACTTTTCTATCACACAACAAACCCGATGCATTCCTCTACTTCATCCATCCAACTTGAATTTTACTAATAATATCCCTATCTATTTCACCATCACTATGAACAATAAACCCAAGATATCTAAAACGTGTACTCTTATTAATGACTTGATCGCTCAAAGTCACAAACCCCCTACTAGATCTATTACTACTAAAATTACACTCAATGTATTCGGTTTTAGATCTACTCAATCGAAAACCTTTAGACTCTAAGGCTGACCTCCATAATTCAAGTTTACATTCAACTCCCTCTATAGTCTTATTAACAAGAAGAATATCGTCTGCAAAAAGCATACACCAGGGAACATCCTCTTGCAAATCTTTAGCAAGAACATCCATGAATAAAGCAAAAGATATGGGCTTAATCCAATTGAAATTGGAAGATACTTGGTCAAACTACTTGTGTTTGAACACAAGTAACAACTCCAGCATACATATCCCTAATGACTTGAATATAAGCATTATTAACCCATTTCTTTTTTAGAACTCTCCATAGCTCTTCTCTTGGAACTTTATCATATGTTTTCTTTAAATCAATAAATATCATATGAAGATATTCCATTTTCTCTCTATATTTTTCCATCAAACTTCTCAATAAATGTATGGCTTCCATAGTAGACCTACCCGGCATGAATCCAAATTGATTTTGAGAAACAATAGTATCATGTCGTAACCTATGCTCCGTAACTCTCTCCCATAATTTTAAAGTATGACACATCAACTTAATTTCTCTATAATTTGCACAATTTTGTGCATCACCTTTATTCTTAAAGATAAGAATCAACACACTCATTCTCCATACATTTGGCATCTCTTTAGTCTTCAAAATAATATTAAAAAGTTTAGTATGCCAAAAAATTTCTTCATTTTCTAAGCATTTTCATACCTTTATTGGAATATCATTAAGTCCAACAGTTTTCCCACAATTCATTTTCTTTAAAGTCTCTCTAACATCAGTTTAGTAATACGCCGATAAAAATAAAAATCTCTATTTTCATTTAGAGTGTTAAGCTCACTAAATTCAATCGTATTTTCACAATCTTCATTGAAAATCTTAGCAAAATATCTCATCCACCTTTGTTGAATATCATCTTCTAAAAAAAGTACTTTTTGATCTTTATCCTTAATACACTTCACTTGAACTAAATCTTTAACTACTTCTATCTCTTTGTTTGACTAGCTTATACATATATCTTTCTCCCTCTTTAGTATCTAATCTATTATATAAACTTTAAAAGCTAAAGCCTTTGCATTGCAGAATGTTTTCTTAGACTACTTACGGGCAACTTTATATCTTTTCCAATTTTCATAATTTTTACATGTAAATCAATTTTTGTAACAGAACTTCTTATTTTTTGATCTTTTCTTGAACATTTTGATTCCACCACCAACTATTTTTATTATAAGAAGCTTTTTCCTTTTGATACTCCAAGCATTTCCTTTGCAACATTCTTAATATTATAAGCTATTATTTACCACATAACTAGCTTCCCCGTACGTCGACAAAATCTTAAGATCGTGAATCTTACTCTCAAAGATATTTTTTGTTTGTGTTCTTTAAATGTCACCATCTAATTCTAGAACAATGATATATTGTATTTTTTATGCTCCGCCTATTCTTCTTAAAGTCCAAAACTAATAAGTGATGTTAGGTAAATAGACTTTCACTCAAAATAACTTTATAATCTCTGCAATCTAAACGATCTATTTTTCTTACAATAAAATAATCAATTTAATTACTATATACATTTTTTGTAAGTGATGAGATGCTCATCTCTTTTTTTTAATAAGGTATTAGCAATAACAAAATCATAAGCTAGAGCAAAGTTTAATATAGTCTTGTCACCTTCATTAGTCACTCCAAACTCATAGCCACCATGAATGCTTTTAAAATTCTCTACCTCTCTACCAGCATGTCCATTTAAATCTCCCTGAATAAAAACTCTTTCTTCAAGAGATATCTTTTGTATTAATTTTTCTATGTCATTCCAAAATTTTAATTTTAAGCGCATATCCAAACCTACTTAAGGAGCATAAGCACTTATAATATTAATAATTTTATCATTAACAATAATCTTCAAAGTTATAATTCTATCTCCAATTGTATTAGTTTTTACAATATTATTTTTTCAATTCTTATCTATAATCACACCTACACATTTCTAGTATGACTCCTATTAGAATACTAAAGTTTAAACTCTAAAATATTATTCTCCTTAGCCTTCTCTCTCAGCCATTTAGTTTCTTGAATGCCTAGAATATTTATCGTCCTATGAATTATAATATCAATTAATTTCTTTAATTTGCCTATAAGGGAACCTACATTCCAAGATCTTAACCTGATTTTAATTTCATGGACTAGCTTCTTTGCCCACTTCCATCCATGGCGTGAGAATGCATGCCTATTTACACTGTATCCAGGCGCCGATGCAACGACCCTTACACACTTCTCACTGTATTTAGGCAATTACAGTGCGTCGCTTCTAGGGAACACCCTATCATTAACACAATGTATTAAATGATTCATGTCATGATTGTTCGACAAGTTTTAAGCTGGCTGTCGACTACCTAATGCAACCTTCAACTTTTCTCATGTTATTAAATTGGAATATTTATCTTTTGGTGTTTCTAATATTCAGGAGAATTTCACTCATGCAAAATTAAAGTTCTAGATGAATGAAAGATGGTTGTTTAGCTTCTCTAGTGTACCATTTGTCTTTGCTCGATAATTGAATTTCCTTCCAATACGCCATTTCTTATGTTGGTAGCTAGAAGCATTCACATCGTATAACATAATATAACATATGAGAACATAGGGGCTTGTAACAACATGTATGTTGAGTTGCAATTGTCCATCAGAAACGTTCAATACATCATGTAATAGATAAAAAAAAACATGTATACACCACATCCATCAGTATATACTTAGCCATCCACCAT